AAAATCCTATGTTCCAAGCATTCAAGAAAGGCAAATGATACTTACAGTCCATTTGTTAGAATCCAGAGAAAATATGCAATAAAGATCAAAATTTCTCTATACTTCCACTCTTGTAAAAGAATACCAAATTTTAACCAAGTCTTTCTTAACTTTTTCTAAAAAAAAAAAAAAAAACAAAAAAAAACAAAAAAAACCACCCAACAAAAAAAACCCCCCCCCAAAAAACCCTAAACATGAAACAAACAATAATGAAACACTGCAACTTATCTTTTTTAATTTATAATCCAAACAAAACTTTGCGCCTCACCTTTTCCCCTCTCTGTTCATTTAAAATCTCTATTCTGCGACACAATACTTGGATAGGTTCTTTTAGCCGTGCAGATCCTATTAAGTCTTCTAAATATTCAAGCATGCCTTCATCATGTTCAGTCTGGCCTTTTGGTTTCATCATGGCGATTTGTTCAACTTCCCCCTTGGAAAAGAGAAGTTTCATTTTTCTCCCTCCTCCCCCCTTTTTTTTTTCCTGGGGGAGAGTCAGTATTCTGAAAAAACACAAACATCTTTGGAACGCTGGTATGTGACCATACTCTAGCATTATTAAAAAAGAACAAAATAAATAATGCAGTAATCAAAACTGACTATTCAAAGTAGCAATATATTTGGGAAAACAAAGATCAAAGTTAATAGAAACTTTCTCCAAGTAGTGCATGGTGGTGATGTGCACCTCTTCCAAAGCTAGCATTCAGATCTAAACATTACTTCATTTCTCTAAAGATTCAGAATGCATTTCCCCAACCTAAAAACAAGAGAATAAAGCATGATCTCCAAGTCACATAGCACCAACAGTCTTAAGGCATCTTAATCAAGATTGATGTTACTGAAGGGTTCCTTTAGGAAAAAGAAGGTCCATAAAATCATGTCTCATGGATGAACTGGACTTGTAATTCATATAACCAAGACTTCCTTGTTGGAAAAGGGACATTCTTTCAGTATCAGGCTTCCTTACTTTAATTTTCCTTTATGTACAGCATTAACTTTAAATTATTAAGGTGAATAGTAACAATTATTTTTTTTAAAGAATTAGGCAAGATTAAACCGAGACAGTGAGAAGGACTGTTTATGTTACTGATGCTGTCATTAGCCAACAACAACAAAAATCTATTATCAATATTTTATGCTTAAGACAGAGTAGCACTCAATGTTTCAAAATACAGATTTTGCAAATTACATGGTCATATATCAAGACAAAGACATGAAACTGAATATACACATATTGAAATCATATCTGGTGCAACAGTAGATGCAATAGATTCTGCAGTAAAGAGAACACAGAGTAGAAGCTATTCACCCTTCAAAAACCTAGATACTTAGGTACATGACAAGAGACAACTTATTCATAAAACAAATGGTAGTGCAGAGTACCAGTATTGGCCATTAAACACATGAAATAAGATGCATTAAAGTTCTTAATATAGTTTTAGAACTGACAAGATTAAAGTTGAATTCCAGTATCTGACCTATGTATGTAGAAAAAGCCCAAGTCTACATCCACCGAGTGAAAATATTCATTGACTTTATTCATTTATTAGTTTTCATTGTTGGCTGCTTGTTGAAGCTGAGCTGACAGTCAAGTCTCTACAAAAGTATGGATGAGGAAGAACTTCTCGAGAACATATAGAAGGAGAGGTGATTAATGAGATCACTGGAGAACCAGAAAGTCACGGAAGTCAGCAAAGGGTAGGATTTCTACACAACCATTGCAAATCAGGCCTGTAACCAGCTAAGAAACATGAGGGTAAAGTCCTCCTAAACATTAGTGAAGGTTAGAAATTTTTGCCAAAGGGATTTTGTTCCACAGTCTCAGTGCACAATGACACCTAGTGGCCCTATGCTTCTCTTCCAATTAGCAAATACCACTCAACTGAGTGGTAGGGAAAAAGTTAAGTTTTGCAAAGCAAAATCTAGCATGTATTAAGACAGGTCTTCTTGCACTAAATTCCTTTGTTAGCGTAAAACATAGAGGCTGTTTTTGGTTTGGGTTTTTTTCCTTTTTATTTTTTTAAATTAAAATTCTAGAAGTTAAACGCATCTAAGCTGCTATTTTCTGGTAATTACTGTTCCTAAAGAAGCATCAGCAGATTTGACAAGACAAAAAAAAAAACAAAACCAAAAACAAACAAACAAAAAAACCCCCCACAAAACACAAAACCTCCCCCCACAAAAAAACACCACAAAACCCAAAACACCCCTCTGTTTCTTACACATCTAAAAAAGGCAATTAGTTTTCTAATAACTGCAGTTGTATTATGTACAATTCCCAACGTACATTTGCTCCTTTGCCATGAAAGTATGATTTCTCTACCAAAAACCACCTGTCAGCAAGACACTGCTTATGGGTAGGAAACTACGTAACCTCCTAAATTTCTGTGGATTTACCAGAAGTCTCTGTTTTATTTCTTCCTGCATTAAAGCCTTTCCTCTGTTTACATCCAAGAAATAAAACAATCACAGAAAATATTTAACTCATGCGGTGAACATCAAGTTTAAGAACTTCCACCACCACACATCTATCCCTCAAGTTAGGTGCTGCTGGAAACCACAAAACTGCCCTGGATTTGACATGACCGCAGGAACTATGGACAAGCAAGGAATGCAAGTCAACTTGTTTTTTATGATCTAGCTAAGTATAATTAACCATCTTTTAATTCACAACCATCTAAGAAAGATGATTATATAGTTGTGAGGGTTCTCCATAGCTCACTAATGTAATGGAATATAACTACAATATGTTTAATGATATAGTAAATAATTACTGAAATTTAATCCAATTATATCTAATTCTATAACCTCATAAATTAAGTAATCAGGGGTTTGGTTGTCTGGTGGTCTGTTTACATGGTAAATAAATAACCTCACCATCTGACTGGGAACTACTGGTAACTGCAGTTTAGGCCACACATTAAGTAACATTTTGAAAAGTTGAAGTGAATCAAGTACTGTTAAGATAATTCACATGAATTGAACTTGTCAGACTGGCAATTGGCAGTTTAATATTCCTCTAATTCACCATAGGCAAGCAATTTTAGAATTTCATATTCTTCTTATGTGAAGAGATGTAGACGGACTACCTACTTAAATTGTTGTATTCCTTTCTTATCAAGGGTAAAAATGAAAATATTTAGCAACTACAAGTAATAATTGACTAATAGGAGTATTAAATATGATTTATATTATTTACCAAGTCAATATATTAAGAAATCCATTTAGCTCACCCCTATATTTAACATATTAAGAATCAAAAAAGTTTCCAGCTACTTTAATTGATAAAGAAGACCAAAAAGGCTCTAGCTGCTCTTCTTTCAAGTAATCATGACAATGATTAATGGGGGGGAGGGGGAGAAGAGGAAGAGGGGGAATAGTCACATTTTAACTCTGTGTTCTGTTAGAAGTTGATAGTTGACATAACTGTTCCCTTAACATTTTAGCAGTGCTTATTACTTGACCCACTATTTGAATTACGTAAAAAAAACCCCAAAAAAACAAACCAACAAACAAAAAACCAACCAACCCAACCACCAACAATACAACCTTGCTCTTTTATCTACTAGAAGATCTTTTGAAACACAGACAGCAATTTTGAAAGTGAAACTAAGGCAGCAGCAGGCAGACATTTGTTGAAAATAAAGTATGCTTAGGCATGCTTAATATAGCTATCACACCTAATTTTAAAAAGTCTTGGAATGGACCACCAGGAAATCTCCTTAATTATTGCCCTCAGTTATCTTCCTGCTCTTCACAGGCATGAAATCATGAGGGGGAGTAATGTGAATAAAAAAAAAAAAAAAAAAAAAAAAAAATCCTCTGTTCAGTTGAGGACAATCAAAATGGATGTCAACATTAAGGCACTGGTGACACTGGCAGACAGCTAACAAAGAACCAAACATCCACACGAGTAATCACTGCATGAAAACACAACAAATATCCATGGAGAATATCAGTAACGCTCTACATTCATGACAAGAACTTTCAATGGAATTACGAACCCAATTTCAGTTTCTATATTGTGTGTGAAGTCTTCTACATCAGATTGAAATCATCACAGGGCTGCCAGCATGTCACTGGTAACAGAGGCAGTCAACTCAAACACTGTATAATGAACACACATCTAAATAACAGTTTCTACAGAACGCCTCAGCTTAGTTACCAGAAAACAATTACTACATTTGAATAGAGAACACAAGTTTATATGTGTAGAAATTTCTAAGCAATAAAGTTAGCTCAAATAATGAGAAACCTTGCTTGACAGTAGGCTACAAACTTATAACAAGGGTAAGTGCCAGTCTCATTTGAAAGCCATCTTCTCAATTGAACAGTATAAAGAGTAACTTCAAGGAGCTTGGAAGCAAGAGATTCTGCCTTCCTTTTCATAGCTGGACTCTCAAGGTGAATTATTTCAGTGCCATAATCTTCAAGATACTTTCTAAACTTAAATTTCTATTTTGCTTAAGAGCAAAAACTTCAAAGCAAGTAAATTGTAAAAGCCTTCAAATACCAGTGTAAGACTTGCTCATCATTAAATTAACTATGTGAAATCAGTACCCCAGTTGAGGAGACCAAGAGGGTCAGTGAAGCACTGGGTAAACCAGCAGCACACAACACAGGCCAGGAGCACCTGGACTCGCCGTGCCTGCTGCGCTCAACCCTACAGGGATGCTGCAGAGGGATGCCCAGAAGGATGCCTGAAGAACTGACAGGAGTGGTGACATCACCAGCACCTTCTATCACTGTCTTAATGTTGTGAGGCAGCCAAGTCAAGGGTCCCTGTACTCCAAGTTCTGTGCATTCCAGTAACACTTGCATCCTTGGAATATTTAAGAATACTGTAGATTTAATGCAAGACATTTATTACGGACAGAATTAATCAAATTTCAGTCTCTACTGAATGCATACTCTTCTGCATTCATGTTGGAACAAAACCAACATTAGGACTAGGCACATCTACAACAGTGCAGGCAGCTTACTTAAATAGCTTCACTCCATTGCCATATGGAACTTCCAGGGCAAACATGTGACGGGCAAGAATTTCCCCTCTCACGCAGCCCTCATAAGGTAGAACAATAAAGCCCCTAAACTATTACCTCATTTCTACAAACTATTTCCTCTAAAATTACACATTTGTTTCTTTAAACAGCTGATCCTCTCACGACAGAAAGCTTTTAATCCGGGTTTATCCAGTGTTTTCTGGCATATAAAGATTTGAATTTTAAACCAAGGTTATCAAACTGCTTGAAAAATGAAAATTTTGACCTACTCATTAAGCTGCCTTTCTGCAACTTTTAATCTTGTAACAGATGCTACTTTACACTTCTGCATATAACTCCTGTTTGTTGCTCTTGGCAGACAATTGCGTTATGTTCCAGCAATCTTCCTTTAAATCTAAGAGAGGGCCTGTGGACTGAAGCACTAATTCCA